CATGTGAGATGCATGGGAGGCATATGTTGGAGCATGTGAGGACATGTGGGATGCATGTGAGGTACATGCAGGATGCATGTCAGGTACATTTGGGATGCATGTGCATGTGAGGTACATGTGAGATGCATGGGAGGTACATGTTGGATGCATGGGAGGTACATGTGGGATGCATGTGCATGTGAGGTGCATGGGAGGTACATGTGAGATGCATGGGAGGTACATGTGATCCAAAATAATTAGTTTGGGTGGAAATTTAAGTACATCCATAGACCTTAAAATACAATTAGCCCATTTTAAAGAGGTCATTTACGTAAACATATCAAATAGAGCAAATGTGATGCTACAGTTTGTCGATAAGCCCTAAAGCCATTACAAAAAGACTTCTTTTTAAATCACTTTTTTTCTCCTTTTGAATATTTTGGTGACAAAAGAACGTCACAGGTATTTAAATTTGTCACAAACCAGCATGTGACTCACACTGATACACTGATATCTATGAATGAGTTTACTCAAGATAGCAAGCTATCATAGCTAAGTTGTGTAACAGTCACTTTCCATGACATATAGGTAATCCAGCACACTAGTATGTGACATCTAGCTGGTTTATAACAATCTCACATATTATTATTAGTTAAGTATATACTGTACATGCATCTTACCTCAACTGGGCTTCTTTGTCTCTCAGTGTCTGTTCTAATTTTAAGTTTTTCTGTTTTAGACTATTCACAACCTACAGAAATAAATAGTCAATAGAACTTACATTAGTTGTAGTGCAGTGAAGATTTGAATTTAATGTAAACAAGTCATTGAAAATGACACAGTCCCCGTTAAGTTCTCTTTCTGCTCGTCATATTAAAGTGGAGGGGTTGTTGCGAGCATGTCCTTGAAACTTGAGTTCCAAGTGGCGTATACAACAGATTGTTTATTTACATCAAAACACGTGTTTCGTGTCATAGTAATATGGCCAAAATAAAAACAGTCGTTATTCAGCCATCTTTGATCTGATTATGAAACACACTGATATGTATGATGTGTGTGCCAAATACGAATGAAAATGGTACATAAATTGTGAAAATATAGTAGTAAGGCCAAAAAGTCAGATGGCTGTCAATCGGCCATTCTTGACCAGATTTTGAAACGAATTGTCATGGACATGCATCCTAACATGTATAAAGTACATGTATGTGCCAAATTTGAATGAAAACTGACAGAGCACGTCCAAGATACTGCATAAAAAAACAAAAACAAGATGCCTGCCAGTCGACCATCTTTGATCCAATTGCAAAATAAATCGTCATGGACATGTATCCTAACATGTATAATCTATGTACCAAGTTTGAATGACAACTGA